TTTAAACATATTCATATACATGCATGTATATATATATACACATTCATATCTCTGTCTTTATATGTATATATACTAGGGGTGATTGATTATATATGATAAATGTTTAAATTTTTTAAAATGTATTATGTAAAAGACATATTGTCATTAATCTTCCTCAAAATACAGCCTCACTTTAAGGACACTTATCTCATCATTCTTGTGACTTTATGAGGAAGTACTAAAAGTTGTTTTTCATGATGAGATGTGACCAGAATTCAGTGAATCATGCTGCCGAGTGCTATCCAAAAGAAAAGCAGGCCTGCAAAAATGTGACACACCCTTATGCACTTTATTCACTTAACCTGGCACCATGCAACTTCTGGCTCTTTCTCAGTGTCTTCAGAAAGTGGATGAAATGATAGGATAAGTGTCGCTAAAGCTAGGGATAGTATTCTGAAGGAGATTCATGGCAATGTGTCTTTTACTGTAATAAAATTTAAAAACTATATACATGTCCTATATTTTTCCATCATACCTCTTATACATACATGTCTTTGTATATATGTATATGTATTAATTTTCCTGCTTCAGTCTTTCTGTACAATTAAATCACTAGCTACACTTGATATTAGACCTGGAATTACAAAGGAGACTATTTTTTCATTGATAGAGAATTGAAAAGACAAATTGAGGTCTATATAAATCTGAGCTCTACTTCATATATATATATGTGTATATATATATATATATATATATATATGAATGAAAGTAATTTATTACCCCTTATAACTATTTTCTTTTTTTAACTAAATACACTCTTTTAGCACAGTTGAAATGCTGCACATACTGAATGGATGAGACAGATAGTATCTGCTCAATGCTTGTTAGCTCTGTTCCTGGGGCTGGGGATTTAGCTCAGTGGTTCGGCCGACTGCCTTGTTCCTGTTTTGTATGGCTTATAGACAACTTTTCCTTATGCGAACTTATGGAAAATTTTCTTCTCACAAAATATCTGTGAAATTGTCCCAGATTCTGCATGGCTTTCCAAGTCAATCCTTATGGGCATAATTCGCTTTAAACTGGTGTTGGCAGAATACTCTCAGGGTGCATTTTCCTAAGTCTCCATCACTGTTGTCTTTTCATCAACTACGCTAGGAACAGAAAAATCACAATCACACATCTATGGTTCAACTGTGCCCCGAGGACCCTAAGTGCATCCTCGCTGTCTGTAAACACCTACAAGTACTTGGCTGTTAGTGGATATAGAATAATATTCATGGGAACTAGAGATATAAAATTCTTACCTTATGCCAAAGAGGAATCTCTTTAAAATGAGAAAAATTTGAGCGGTCTGTAGAACCCACAATGAATAAGAATTTTCTACTATTTGTTCTGTAATTTCAATGAGGAACGTTCTTAATTTGTTTGCTCTCTGAACACCTGAGATGAACTCATTTTCTGTTTGAGGTTGTGAATTGTCTTCACGATGATTGGGTAGTGTCTTTTCTTTTTATTCCTTAGGGCTTGAGCTGAGTCTGATGCACACCCAGTAAGAGTTCTATGTTCACCTGAGACCATTACCCCTTGACATTGCTTGGAAGTTCTTCCTCTCCACTAGGAGGATTGTCCTCTGTGGACCTAGAATACTTTATGATATCCACAAAACACTGTTTTCATCCTGACATACCACTGTGATTTAGTTTGCTCTTATTTATTTATTTTTTATTTATTTTTTGTTAAATTCTTTTATTGGTACATTGTAGGTATACAACACAATTTCATTTCTCATTGGGAATTGCACCTTTACATAATGCATCTTGGTTCTTATTTTTTCCCCATTCCTAGCCCTCCCTTCACCCCCTCCACCCTTCCCTATTTACAAAGACTTTATTTC